CGAAAGAGTGAAGTGTAGCCAGACGAGATTCTATATCCGGTACCTTATATAAATACTTACGCAGTGAGAAAACTTTAGGACTGTTCTTGCCCACAAACGCTTTTTTTTCTCGCGCAGATCCGTGTTTAGAAATATATATATATATATATATATATATATATATATATATATATATATATATATATACACGCGTTTTCGCGAGAGAAAAAGTGTTTGGGGGCAAGAACAGTCCTAAAATTTTCTCTCTGGGTAAATATTTTAAAGTACCTACGGTTATTTTTGTAGAATATAGTTGTAACGAGTACGCATATTTTCGATTTGCTTCAACTCGCTTAGTGCCCTTTTCGAAACTATGTACTTCTACGAAAACGGGACATGATTCATTATTGGGACAAAAAGACGGGACGGCCAAAGCGGGCCTCAAAAACGGGACTGTCCCGGCCAAAACGGGACTTCTGGTCACCCTACATTTTGATCGCAGCGCCACCTTCGCTCCGATCAAGCAACGACACAGGTCAAGTTCAGATGGGCAATATAGCCCCTTAGGGGCTATATAGTTTTTTTTTTCATGATTTTAAATTCAGAAGTAACGTCAAAGCACCACGACACGACGACGACACGACGACGCCACGACGTCATCGTCGACGACGTTATGCGCCGCCAAGATGCTGTGGTAAGGCCGCCGTAACATCGCGTCGCGTCGAGGACGGCGCCGTTTGGCGACATCAAGTCGCCGTTATAACGCGGTCGTGACGTCACGTTCAGGACGACGCCGTTACGCGACATCAAGTCGCCATTGTTACGCGGTCGTGACATCGCGTCGCGTTGAGGACGACGCCGTTACGTGACATCAAGTCGCCCTTGTAATGCGGTCATGACGTCGAGCGCCACATCGAGGACGACGTGGACATGGTTGTCGATGCCAACGTTGACGTCGACGCCCCCCGCAACGTCAAACATTGCTGTGACGTCATGTTAACGTCGTCGTGACGTCATCGTGAACGTCAACATCACGACGAAGACTTGACGGCGTGTAACGTCGCCTTCGCCAGCATCAATGTGGACGCGCAGTCACGGCGAAGTCTTGACATCGTATCAAGTCGCCGAGGATGATGTTGAAGTCGTGAAGCTGTCGTGACGTCTTCGTGACGTCGAGTTGCGTCATGGCGGCAATGACGTCCACGAAGTGACACCGAGCGTCCTTATTCCATTGCATTGACAAGGACACCGTTATCTTGACGCCCCGTGACATTGTCGCGGTCGTCATCAACGTCAAAGTTGACATCGTCGTCGTTGTCAACGCAAAATGACGTCAGAATGCAGTCTTGGTGTCGTGTGACGCACCTTGTCAACGTCGATGACGACGTTGACGTCTAGGCGTCGTCCTGGTATCGCATGGCGTTGTGACGCTACGTTGCATGAGTGTGCGTTGTTATGTATTTTTAGCTACGTTGCATGAGTGTGCGTTGTTATGTATTTTTATGTTTTTTTTTCATTTCTTGTATAATTTCTTGTGTTGCCCCCTCCTTATGTAATGTCCTCGGCAGAGGACCCTTAAGGATTAATAAATGAAATTAAATGAAATGACGACCAGTCAGGTCGCGGTGACATTATGTACGTGACGCCAGACGTCTAGGTTATATAAAAAATGTAGTCTGGCGTTCTATCGCTTCTATGATCTTGACCAGTGTGCCGGTCAAGTTTGTCGTTGCAACGAAACGCGTTTTTCATCAAAAGCGGCTACTCCGAACCACTTCGATCGTAGCGCCCCAGAGGGCGCTACGAACGAAGTGGCTTGAATTAGCTGTTTTTTTCCCACATGCGGAGGTACCAAAATAGCATTCCGGTGACCCCACCCGTCCTTTCTAGTACACTCTAGTATGGGGCAATCACAGCTTCAACCTTTTCGTCTTTGTGAATTAGAAAACATAATGTCCTCTTTATAAGTAGGCGGTGGTTTGGTCACTGTTCTTGTAACGTGACGTAGACCTTTGGCGTATACAGATGGTAATGCACCTAGGAATTTGATAATGTGTCCCAGCGTCTGTCGGATGTTCCAACATTCCAGACGAATCGTTGCTCTAAAATTTGGCACGGTGTCAATCACGTGCGCATGTGCGAAGTCAATCGGATGGCCACGCGCTTCGCACGGTTCAGCAACTGCGCTGCGTTCTGAACACTGTAAAGTCTAAGATTGGCCGCTACGGTCTATCCTAAACTTTATGACCTCTCCACTCAGGCGCTATCGAATTCCCTCCATCGGACTCTATCTCCCCTTTCTGGAGACACGTCGACGCATATACTGTACACCAGGCAGTTTGTACAGCGTTCCTCGCAAGTAAGACTTATCGAAGATGACACTATGGTGTCATTCGACGTTGTGTCACTTTTCACCAGCGTCCCGTTCCCTTGAAAGTTGCCGCAGCCAGAGAGACTCTCCAGAAAGACGGCACCTTGGCCTCAAGGACCTGTCGTACTATAAATGAACGGTGCCGCGTTTAGAGATCTGCCTCGGCAGTGCGTACTCTAGTTTCAAGGGTGATCTTTTTAAGCAAGTTAGTGGCACTGCAATGTGGGCTTCCATCTCTGTTACAAGAGCAAACCTCACCATGGAAGCAATCGAACAGAAGACGCTGCGGTCGTTCTCCAACAGGCCCAAGGAGTTTATACGACATGTGAACGACTCCTTCTTTATCCTCAAAAAGTCGGATGTTCATAACTTCTTTCGCATCTCAGCTCAAAATGAGCCGGCCACCGTAGAGGGCGCTGGTGAAACGGGAAGGAGACGTATTGAGGTTCAGTGTATACAGAAAACCAACCCACACAGGGCTCTACTTTTATTTTGAAGCAAACCACCCGGTGAGCCACAAGGCGTCAGTAGTGTCGGCACTGTTCTCCAGAGAAATAACAGTCTGGTTATCTTAATCCAAAAGAAGAAAGGAGAAGCAGGTCATCATTGCTGATCTAAAAAAAATGACTCCACAAAAAGATTTTTTCAGCGTGTCGGACGTCGCCAAGTTCGCGCCCGCCAAGACCAGAGGCCATCGCGAGCAATGTAACCCCGTCCGAAAGCACGCATCAGTGTCCCTTACGTGAAAGCGACCAGTGAAGCACTGGCACGCGTGTTGCGAAAAGAAGGTATTCAAGCGGCCAACAAGCTGGTGTCCACACCGGGGCGGTTGATGCCAAGACCCAAAGACCGACTCCCAAGAGAAAGAGCTCAGAGCGTGGTATAAAAGATCCAATGGATAGAGTGCGCAGCCACCTGCATCGGCGAGACAATAAACTTTCACGAAAGAATGTGCAAGCACAACAACGACGCCTGTGACTTCGACAGTGAACAAAGCGCAGTTGCTGAACACTGCGAAACGCGTGACCATCCGATTGACTTCGCTCATGCGCACGTGATTGTCACCAAGCCAAATTTTATAAATTCGATTTTCTTGGAATCTTGGCTCATCCAACAGCCGCCGGGAAAGATCAACAGCACCCTAGGTCCCTTACCGTCTGTGCACGCGCAAGGTCTACGTCACGTTACAGACAGTGACCAAAACACCGCCTCCTTAAGACGAGGGCATAAAGTTTTCTAATTCAAAAAGACGAAGAGGTTGAAGCTGTGACTGCCACATTCGACCTATAGCCACCCCTGAAGAAGGAGCCGCTTCGACACCTCGAAACTTCTTTTTACGGTTTGGTGGTTGCAAAATTCTCATTTACTTTAGTAATTTCAGCCAACCTGACAGATCTCTGTCGACAATGTTTATCTTAATGCACTACGCTCGTACAGACAATATCGCGCGCCAGCCGACCGGCCGCTAGATGAGCGCATTATCGCGGCGTGAACGAGCAGGTCATTGATTCTACGAACGTGTGAGAGAAGGCACACGACTAGCCGCGCTAACGGTTTTTTTTTTTTTGCACGCCGCGATAAGGCGCTGATCTACCGGCAAGTTGGCGTTTGCGCGACATTGTTGAAAAATTTACAGACTGTACATTCAAATGTGGCATAATTCAATAGCAATGAATAAGCTGATACATTGGGTGTTCTGTGGGGATATATTAAGTACTATCTAAAGGAGTAAGTATTAAGTAGTTGTTTTCATTTGTAAGAAGTACAGTCAAATCTAGTTAATTCAAACTCCAGGGGCACCAAAATGTTTTTGAATAAAGTAGAGTTAGAGTCATCAGGATTTTCTTCCCATGGAAAGGAATACCATGGGAACTGCATGTTAGTTTGCATTATCATCAAGGTTTAATTAAAAGAGTTTGAATTAATGAGAGTCTACAGTATTAGGAATTATTTAAGAAAATAAGAATGAAGTTAAGAATTTCGAATCATGAACAAGATATCTTCAATTCGCATTCGTCTTCTTGATTAAAGTAAATAAATATCAATGATAATGCATGTGGCGCATTCTTAGAAATAGCATTCTTCCGGTCTTTTTTAGAAAATGAATAAAAAAAAATAAACATGAGCAGGACAATATATATTGTAGCAATTGATTTGCAGAAGCTAAAGCAGTGATGCGTTGAATTTTAGTATGAATGTAAGTTTGATACATTTTTATTTATATTGAATGTAAGTAATTCTTTCGACACAAAACATTGATTTCATTACTTGGCCGAACAATATAGACCTCGACAAACCTGATATTGAAAATGCGACCGTTATCCTGCTTTTAGCATTTCTCCTTGCAACGCGCAAAAACATCCTACCTCATAACGGCATTTAAAACCGTACATCATCATGAACAGCGACAATCAAAATATAAATAAGCCCCCTCTACCGCATTCCTCTTCTCCCTTCTTTCCGAATTCATGACGCTGTAATTTAATCAACGTAACGATCCGTTTTTTTATCCTGGAGAATAACATACGCTATTGACGAATCGCTTTAAGGGGCGTGTCTATAGTTTTCTGATTTTTGCATCGGGTATATAAAGCTCTATACTCCTGTACTCCACCATCGTTTCCACCTTGAAGCAAGGAAAAAAGTAATCATGTTCTCCAAGGTAGGAAAAGTTATCCACGCTAGTCGCTGCCTTTGATATTGAGATTTTCAGAAACCGATTTGTATCTGCTTTGACTGGAATAACACCGTTATGTTTGCTTCCAGGTCCTTGTGTGCTGCCTCTTCGCCTACGTGGCATGCGGAGTTGTCGTGGAGCAGGTGAGAATAAGGAGATTGTAGCAATCCTGAAAGACATGAGATATTATGCAATATCTGACAACACTACATGAAACCCCCATTCGTATGAAGGTACATCAATTAAGAACTTTTATTTTTATCATGGGATATATCTCTAGGTGATGAGGTGTCAACACCGAGCTATGAATCGTAACATCGGAAGCAGTGTACTTATATTTCCATGATTGAATGCATATACTTTTTAAACTGTCACGTATCGTTCTATATTCAATATATTCTTCAAATATTCCGGATCTTTATAACCTAAGTAACTTACAATTCAACCTCAACTTTGTTCATTGTTTCACTGGAGATAGAGAAGGAAAATCAGCCGACGAGTTTGAACTGCTGAGCCTTGCTTGAGCCAAATATTTACGCATTTAGATCAAGTCAAACGTCAGGAAACCATATTGTCTCGAATATATAAACAGGCTTTTGTTTTCACCATAACTCTGCTGATGCAAGTGTATATTATTTTTTATTGCAGCACCCTCCCCAGCAATACAGCTTCGGCTTCGACAACGTCGACGAGTTCGGCACCCGCATGACCCGTCAGGAGACCGGAAATGAGTTCAACAACAAGGTCGGCTCCTACAGCTATGTCGATGCCCTCGGAGTCAGCCGTGTGGTGAAGTACGTGGCTGACGCCACCGGCTTCCACCCCACTGTGGAGACCAACGAGCCAGGAACCAAGACCTCGGCCCCAGCCGACACTCTCCTTTTCTCCTCTGCCATCGAGGGCCCACACCCGGTCGTCGTCAAGGCTGCTCCAGTGGCCGTGCACGCCGTTCACGCTGCTACAGTTGCCGTGCGCGCAGTGCACGCCGCTCCGGTGGTGCACGCTGCCGCTCCCTTCACCTACGCCCATCACGCCCATCACGCCCCTCTCGCCTACGGTCTCGCAAAGCACTTCTGATAAATTAATAAATCAATTCTATAATTGAACTCTAAAATGTATTTTTTTTTATGCGAGTTGTTGGTGGTTCCATTGGAGAGTACTATTTTGGAAGCACGAAAAGAAATGTAGACGATGTGCTCTAAGTACACTGTAGCGTTTCACTGTGAGACGTTTAGGTGACTTCTATCGAGGTATTTCATTTTGAATAAGTGCGATATTTGCCAGGAAATAATTGCTTTCAATTATCAAATTTGACGCTTACGCAAAAATAGTTTCTTTTAAAATTCCGGTGCGTTGAAGTACCGTGATCTACGTCGTGATTCAAACGAATGAATATACACACCACACACCACCATTCAGCAAATTCTTCTGCTCCCGGACTTCATATATTATGTTTTGGATTGAATGCCTTCTAAACGAGCGGTCCTATTAAGGAAACTAGATGGTAACATCAGTAACATGTTCATGTACTGTCGGTAAACTCCTTGCTGGTTCGCTTTGCTACCCGGCATTCATGTACACAAACAAAAACCGTAACCCAAACTAAAAAAAAAAATGTTAAGGAACAAGTTTATTTTGCTAATCACAATAACCGAATTGAAATCAAAATTTGTATTCGGAATTGATGGTAACCTGAAACAGAACCGTTAAAATTAAATGATTGCCGATTTCATTCCGTTTCACAAACATCCTCCAGTAGAGTTTATGTAAAATATTGAAAAAAGGGTGAATTTGAACTGACAGTTTACATTCAGAGCACATAGAATTGCCTCAGTAGGTCCTTTTTTATTACTAACCCACATCAAAACACAAAGCGATCATGAAATGTTTGCTAAATGAGTTTTCGGTCAACATTTGTCTTCAGGGTATGAGCTTTTACAATAATCCTGATATGTTAAATAAACTTCTCCCTCCAACACTTCCAACGCTCTTTGACATAAAGTGTGAAGGGTCGAGGTAGATGAACACTCTTGCGTGTGAAGTGCGCAACGAAATTGTAATCAACAAGGAAATAGTATAATCGTAAGAACACTGGCGGTATTTTATGTTATTTAGAAAACAACTGAACACGCTATGTTCTTGGTTTATTTACATTGTTAAAGACCTTTGCGAGCATACTATTTACCAGTGTTTTGGAGTTGCCACTCCGGAGCTGCAATGATTCCGGAAACACTCCCCCTTTTCGCGCCCCAGAATTGAATGGGATAGAAACGGCGGCAGAACAGGAAGGAATTGAATGGTATTGGAATTAGTTAATTTTGCCCAGAATGACATGGGAATGAAATGGACTGTGATCTTATGCGAACTCGATCGATGGGGCTAAACGAGCTTTTCAAATAGCATCATTGCACTTCAGCTAACTGGTGGTTGGGTTATTTGAACGGCTTATTTTTTTAGAGGAAGAGAGCGGCACCCTGGTGCAGAACCAAAACCATAGAGCTGTAGACGGACGATGTCTGGCTCTTGGCGCCACGAGACGTGACATTGTGGCTGTTGTGACTATGTGCGATTATATCACTTGTCGTAGGCCACCAGTCAGAGACATATCCACACTGCCAGCTTATCTTTTATGCGTGACTCCTCAACTACCTTGCATTTCCTAGAAGTGAATGATGATTAAATCCGTTTTATGATTATTTCACAAATTTATTCTCCCCTGCGCAAACAAGCGGCCCGTGTGTAACTCGGGAATTTTGAAAAACTGTTTTCTGCTCCCTACCGACTCGGCATTTTGAAACCTCAAAAACAGTAAATATACCGATTTTAATTTAATTTAGGTACAGCCGATAAAATACGTGCTTCACAATATTTTACCTTGTCTCACACAGATCTTAAATTAGTCGCTCTCGACTGGTATTTTTCTTAAAGGTATGCAGATTGCAAACCCAGGCAGCACCGAGTTCTGGGCCAAAACTTGGCTTGCGTCTGGCAGTTTAGGGCATTAAAAAGCCCGAAGAAGCCAAAGTAGTGCCAAACCTGACCTCCCTTGGCAACAGTCTAGGTATCTTGGCCCTAATTCGCCAAACAAGTGCCAAACTTAGGCTTCGCTGCCGGGTAGTTCGGTTATTATCTGGCATCTTCGGGCCTAAATCGCCTAACAAATGCCAGATTTAGGCTTACTGCCCGTTAGTTCGGCAGATCTTTGGCATTTTTGGGCCAAAATCGCCAAACTAATGCCAAAGTTAGACTTCACTTTTTGATAGTTCGGCTATCACCTGGCACATTCGGGCCAAAATCGCCACAGATGTGCCAGAGTTCGGCTTACTACCTTGTAGTTCGGCAGAGCTTTGGCATTTTTGGGCCAAAATCGCCAAACTAATGCCAAAGTTAGGCTTCACTTTTAGACAGTTCGGCTGTCACCAGGCACATTCGGGCCAAAATCGCCACAGATGTGTAAAGAGTTAGGCTTACTACCTTGTAGTTCGGCAGAGCTTTGGCATTTTCGGGCCAAAATCGCCAAACTAATGCCAAAGTTAGGCTTCACTTTTTGACAGTTCGGCTGTCACCTAGCACATTCGGGCCAAAATCGCCACAAATGTGCCAGAGTTAGGCTTACTACCTCGTAGTTCGGTTGAGATCTGGCATCTTTGGGCCCAAGTCGCCAAGCGAGTGCCCAAGTTAGGCTTCGCTTCCCGATAGTTTGGCTGTGATCTGGCAGCGACGGGCCAAAGGTGCCAAGCAAGTGCCAGAACTAGGCTTACTGCCTTGGAGTTCGGCTGATGAGGTATTTGATGTACGCGGGTGGTCTTCATCTTAATTAAATAGAAATCAAGTTTTATTCGGCTGGCAACTTTATCTTATTTTGGTTGTCTCTTGATTTCTGCAGTCCAAAGGTTGGCTGAATGTTTTGACGCGGCTGGAGCAGGCTTTGCAAACGCAAATTGTGCCAGATGTTTTACTCGCGCGTAGGTACACAAGCCAATATCGGGACGCGCCGTGAGACTGGTTCGACATTATGGCGCGTTCACACCGGCGACGCGATCTAGTCGCGCCATAACTTTCATCGCAAAAGCGACCATCGCGGGCAAAAAGTGACGGGTTTTGAGCAGTCGCTGGCTGAACCGACGTTTTGCGATGCACTCTAGTCGCGGAGAGGCCGAGCCAACCAACGGCGTTCGGAGCGAGAGTTTCTGAGACGCGACTCGCCAACGAAGGCATTGGACTCGCTCATCGCGCACGCCAAATTGACCAACTAATTACTTTTTTTTCTTTTTTTTTTCTTTTTTGCGATGCGATTTAGTTAGATCGCGCGACTGCTATCCTCGGTGTGAATCCGCCTTTACAGAAAGTGCTGCCATTGAGCTAACACTGCGCAAGACGGATGTGCGCACGTCTCAACAAGATATATCATTATTAAGGGGTGTCGAAACAGGACACTACAAAACGCACGACTCCTACAAATCGTGAAAATTGAAGCGGACGCGCCCGCTTCAAGCCCGCTTCAATTTTCACGATTTGTCGGAGTCGTGTCCTGTTTGGACACCCCTTTAGGCGGCGCATTGCAAAAGCGAGCGTGGCTCTGTGCGTGTCTTGCATCGTGATTGAGCACTGTCAAATCCTAGCGATAACAAAGTGCGGAAACGACCGTGGCTCTATGGCGCGGTTCCCGCATCACACTTGGGGGATGAAAATGAAATCCCGGAAATTGTACTATTTTAGCGTGTTGATACTTTTTAAACATTAAAAAGTGGAGACACAAAAGGGACGATAAAGACAGGACAATCTTTGAACTTTAAAGGGATACTTCAACGAAATTTGAATTTTACCCGCCGTGTACAGAAATAGGTTGACTATGATCCACAATACTCGAAAATGACAACCGCACGTCCGTATTTTGAGCAGATGGCTGTATTTTTCGTTCTAAACGGCCCACTCTGGCAAGCAGTCGGAGAACAGCCAGCGGAGGCCACGTCACATCCGGCGCAGTCATGACGTAGGGCGTCTCAATCAACGATTGGAGGAAAGCTGCGGCGAGGCTGACGTGGTTATGAATTTCGTCACTTGGTGGCGTTCACGAGTAAAGTTATGTTACAACCTATACGTTTGACCTGCCTGCGGTCTGAACGGCCTCACAAGTCACAACCCGGCAAACACGGCCACCCTGTGATCCCAGTGTCCGTGAACCCACTAATCCCGTGCCAAACACGGTAGTCGGTTCGTGCTTTGTGTCGCGATGGCGTGTCGCGGAAACAGAAAAGTTAGCGACACCAGCGAGGACGAAGACATCGCTTCTGCAATGGTGAAAGATCGCCGATTCGGCTTACAGCCGTACATTTACGACCCATCTGCGTCGTCTTCATCTGAAGGCGACGGGGACGGGCCGGACACGCCACCACCAGCCCGTCGTGTGGGCTCCGCGAATTGGTAAGTTTTCTATTTCATTCGCGATCAAGAAATATTTCATTTTTATTTCGTACATATTTTCGCGATTGGCAGGCGCGGCATGTATTGAAACGGCGGGATGTTGCTATGATATCAGGATATGCCTCCATCTTCTTGGTGCCGATCAAGGCTATGCATGCGCACTCTACCTTTACGAATTAGCAGTTGCAAAACATAGATACGCTGTGGCGATTGCCAGCGTGCGGTCGCCTCAGCCCGACAGGCTCCAACGCGCGAGCGATAATAATGGCAGTTTTCGGCACCGAAAACTGCCATTATCAAAGTTTTATGGATGAGTTAGATGTTGCAAACACCTTAGAAAACATCGAGTAAAGTTTCGTAGTGCCCTTGTATTTCCGGCATTCATTCATTGAGCAAAATTTGTCCCAAAGGTGCTCTTGCAACGGCTGCAGAGCGATGCTGACGGACTACGAGTCCCTGTGCTGCCGAGA